AGATTGGATTTATACCCCCACCCTTCACTACCCGAAAGAGTCTCAGAGCGACTTACAATCTCCTTTCCCTTCCCCTCCCCACAACAGACACCCTGAGAGGTAGGTGGGGCTGAGAGAGCTCTGACAGAAACTGCTCTTTTTTCAAGAACAGCTGTGCCAGAACTATGGCTTGCCCAAGGTCATCCAGCCAGGTGCAAGTGGAGGAGTGGGGAATCAAACCCGGTTCTCCCAGATTAGAGTCCATGCACTTAACCACTACACCAAAAGAAGGTTTTTTCCCGAGCTTCAAAATGTCTGGAAATTTTACATCTCTAGGGTCCACAAAGGCCATCTAGTGTCACCCCCTGCCCAGTGCAGGACCAGCCTAGAGCATCCCTGACAAATATTCATCAGCTGCCCCGGGAGGTGGCTAGCTCCCCTTCACTGGCAGCTTTCAAGAAGAGGCTGGACGAATATTTGTCAGAGATGCTTTAGGCTTGTTGGGCAGGGGGTTGGACTAGATGGTCTTTATCACCCCTTCCAACTCTATGATTCTATGAGTCCATACCATAAATCGATGCAGAAGGTACCATAAAACCCGATGGTCAAAGAAAGAGAGAGCGCCACGCAATGCAGAGGGGGGGATTTCTGTTCCAATCTGGGTTTCGTAAAACAACGGCGGGAAAAGCCAATGCAGAATCGCCTTTACTCTGTCCTACCGCCCAGGGTTGTCGTAAAGATAACATGGAGCAGGGGGGGAGCCGTGCAGATCAACCGGAGTTCCCCGAAAGAAGGGCGGGATAAAGATGTGTTGCACGGGACAGTTTTCCTGGTGGAGCATGCCCTAATGACGGGTCATAAGAACGTAAGAACATAAGAGATGCCAATGTTGGATCAGGCCAAAGGCCCATCCAGCCCAACACTCTGTATCATACAGTGGCCAGAAATACCAGTGCCATCAGGAGGTCCATCAGTGGGGCCAGGACATTAGACATTAGGGTCCGCCAGGACATTAGGGTCCGCCCGGCGCTTTCTGTGGCACCCAAATGGCACCTCCTGCCTGGGGGTGGTTTGCCACTCCCTGCTTCAAGGCAGGGCTGGTTCTGATGCCGGTTGCCAAATTGTGCAGGGGAGGGTGTCTGTGAGAGCAGCTGGTGTTCCCAAAGGCCCCAGGTGGCTGAACACTAATGTGCACGGCGGCCTTGGAGGACAGTGAATCTCCAAGCCGTCTGGCACAGGAGCGGCAACATCAAGATGAATTGTGTGCTAATGGGAGGCAGTCGATATTTAATGAGACCCCCGGGGAGGTAACATCTGCTTGCAGTGCAGCGGTCTGAGGTCACATCGCATCTGCCACGCATCTCCGGTTAGCAGGCTGGCTGTTCCCTGTCACCAAATGCTCGGACCGATTACGAATCCCAGGCCCAACGAGCGAGACAGGCATCAGCAATGGAGGCATGGCTAGCCCAGGGGTCACCGACGTTGTGCCCCTGGGTGCCATCGTGCCCACTGAACCAGTGGAGAGCCAGGTTGGTGTAGTGATTAAGAGCGGGGGACTCTCATCTGGGAGAACCGGGTTTGATTTCCCACTCCTCCTCCACACGAAGCCTGCTGGTGTGACCTTGGGTCAGTCACAAGTTCTTTCAGAGCTGTTCTCTCAAGGGCAGTCCTCGAGAGAGCTCTCTCGGCCCCGCCTACCTCACAGGGTGTCTGTTGTGGGGAGGGGAAGGGAAAGGAGATTGGAAGCCGCTCTGGGACTCTGAGATAAGGGTGGGGTATAAATCCAATCCAGTTTGGTGTCGTGGTTAAGTGCACGGACTCTAATCTGGGAGAACCGGGTTTGATTCCCCACTCCTCCACTCGCAACTACTGGATGACCTTGGGCAAGCCATAGTTCTGTCAGAGCTGTTCTTGGAAAAGAGCCGTTTCTGTCAGAGCTCTCTCCACCCCACCTACCTCCCAGGGTGCCTGTTGTGGGGAGGGAAAGGAGTTTGTGAGCTGCTCTGAGGCTCCTTTGGGTAGTGAAGGGCGGGGTATAAATCCAATCTCTTCTCCTCTTCTTCTTTTCTGGTACCTGCCAATCATTTTTAAAAAGTGGGCAGGCCAGGTGGAACTTTTGTCCAGCAAGCAATGCTCCCTCTAAGCCGTGGAGTCTTGCGAGCAAAAATTCTGCTTTGTGAGCTACTGCCGTTAAAGTTGTGAGCGAGCGATTTGGCTGCTGCATAAATTAGTTTCCTCTGGAGCCATCCTTCCTGAGCTGAGACAGAAATGTGCGAGCTAGAGGCTAAAAACCTGTGAGCTAGCTCGCACTAACTCAGCTTAGAGGGAACACTGCCAGCAAGGCTTCTGATTGGACACTGGAGATTCTGACTGGACACTGGAGGTTCGATTGGCTGTGCGGGTTTTTAAAAATTGTTTCTCCGGCAGCCGGTGTCACCACAGAACAAGGTAAGCCGTGGCAGCCATTTTGTGGCTGGCTCCGCCTCCTGTTGCTGTGCCTACCACGCCATGTCGGAATTCCAAAACTGCCTGCAGGCTCAAAATGGCTGGGGATCCCTGGGTTAGTCCTCACCACAGGTGGCTGGAGTGCAGGAACTGAGCATCTCTTAGGATAGCACATGATTGTCTCTTCAAGATCCCCCGGTTCCCAAGACCAGAAGGGCTCTGTTATTGGCAGGCCAATTGTCCAGTGTTTCCCCGTACTTTCCCATGAAGAAAGGCTGAAGAGCCTGGGACTTTTCAGTTTAGAAAAGAGATTTTTTTTAAGGGGGGACATGAGAGAGGTTGAAGAAGAAGAAGAAGAAGAAGAAGAAGAAGAAGAAGAAGAAGAAGAAGAAGAAGAAGAAGAAGAAGAAGAAGAAGAAGAAGAAGAGGAGGAGGAGGAGGAGGAGGAGGAGATTGGA